ATCTCATATTTAGTCACTTATGAATATAGAATACTGTAATGAGAACAGACTATGGAATCAGTAGATCTGGATTTTCTTTACTTTGTAACTTTGAGCCTTTTAAGCTCAGTTTCCTCACCTATAAAAGAAATAGTAATGATTAGGGATATTTTTGACTTGTGAGAAGGTCATGCCTTGGAAAATCCATCATAAAATGAAAATATTGTAAATCAAAAAGGCACCAGATACATCTCACTTACTGAATATTATAGCTTAGCCCCCAGTGCACGTTACAGTGCTAGCTGTTCCTCCTTGTGGCCTTATGGCTCATCTGCACCAACAGCTCACTGCTAGGACCAACTGCCCAGAGAAGATTCTACTGCATATCATTCATCTGGACCAATGTTCCAAATTCCAAGGATAGTTTCTACTGAATATGTATTGGTTTCACACCATCATAAAGTTGGAAACTCTCAAGTCAAGTCAAGGTTGGGGTCGTATATTCAATAATACATGCATTAATTGTTATTGCAGGGATGAGTTAGTTGTGGAAATAGGTTCTGAACAAAAGGATGGGCTCTCCCTTTTAACTTCTCCCTTCCGCAACCCATGTATGTGCACATGCACAATCTCTTACCCTTTCACTTTCTGCTATGGGATAATGTAAACAGAAAGTCCTGGCTAAAAATGTTCTTGACCTTGGCCTTCCAAGCCTCTAGAAATGAAGAATGGGTTTTGTTCTTATAAATTACTCAGTCTTAGCCAGGCACGATGGTACACACCTTTAATCTCAGCACTTTAGAGGCAGAGGCCAGTGGATCTCTGTGAGATCAAGGTCAGCCTGGTCTACATAGAGAGTTCCAGGACAACTGGGGTTAACAAATTACTCAGTCTTGGCTATTCTTGGCATAAAACAGATTTGGACAATGACTTATTTTTTAAATGAGTCTGAATAAAAATATCTTTAAGAATATAGACAAATGCCCCATGAAAAGATGTTCAACATTATTAGCCATTGAGAAAATACAAATGAAACCACAAGATGCTCCTTAACACCAATAAAGAAGGATATACACTAATATGTTACTGAGGGTGTGGAGAAATTTCAACTTTCATTCGCTCCTTGTGGGGATGAAGAAAGGCTTTTGGGGAATACCAGCAGCTCTGCAAATGGCTAAATACAGAATAACCATATGACCCAGTAATTCCATTAATAGGGTACTTCTTAGTCCATCTTACATTGTATACACCACAGCAGAGACTGGGCAATTTATAAGGAAAGAGCTTTTAATTGGCTCTTTTGGGGTACAGCAAGTCCAAGACCAGGCAGCTGCATCTGGTAAACATCCTGTGCTGCCTCATTCCACAGCAGAAGTCAAAAGGTCAAGTGGGAGCATGCACATGAGCAAGCTAGAGGAGCCAGGATCACTATAACAACCCATGGTCTTGGCAATTTATCTAACCCCTCAAGAATTAGCTTAGTACCATATGAAAGATGTCCATGGCTCTTAATGACTCAATCACCTCTTAAGTCTCATGTTCCAACACTGCCACAATATCCATCAAAGCTCAACATGAATTTCAAAGAGACAAACCATATCAGGGGTATATGCATGCTAGAAATATACAACCAAACACAAACTTATACTAATGTTCGTAGCAGCATTATTCATAAAGCCAAAAAGTAGAAACAACCTAAATGTCTATCCACTGATGAATGGGCAAATAAAATGTGGTATTATCCACTAATGAAAAGAATGACATACTGATACACACTACAATTAAGTATAAGCCTTGAAAACATGCTAAATAAATGAATTCATCACAATTCCATTGTATGTGAAATGTCAGAACAGGAAAAGCTATACAAGTAGAAAGTAGACTAGTGGTTTCCAGGGTCTGGGAGGAATGAATAGGGATTGACTGCTAGTGAGTATCAGGTTTCTTTTTCAGAGTAAAGGGAAATGTTTTTAAATGAATTGTAAATGTATGTGGCTGAACTGTATGATATATAATACTTCAATGAAGTTGATAGAGTAGTAACAATAATTAACTAGGAGAAAGGAGAGGGTTTGAGATCCCAGACAGAAGATTATGGAAAGACTGAAAGGGGGAAAATGCAGTGTTCCAGGACTACAGGGAACAAGGGCAGAGTGGCATAAGCCAAAGCTGGAGTAGGCAAAGGCCAAGCTCGAACTTTAAAGTCACTAGCACCATAAGAATTTACTATGGATACTTTGCTGGGCAAGCCTAGCTTTTTACACACATTCTGTATACTAATAAATAGTCCTTCAGGGCTGGAGAGATGGCTCAGCGATTAAGAACACTGGTTGTTCTTGCAGAAGACCCGGGTTCGAATCCCAGCACCCACATGGCAGCTAACAACTGTCCGTAACGCCAGTCCCAGGGGATCCTACAGCCTCTTCTGTCCTCCGTGGGCATTGCACTACACGGGTACACTTACCTACATGCAGGCAATACACACATCCACATAAAATAAAAATAATAAAAATTTTAAAAAAACAAAATAGTCCTTCAAAGGATGGAGAAAAGGGTACAAAACTGATTCATCTTGCTCTAAAGAACAACCAATGGGAAAGAGGACATATTTGAGATCATTTGAAGGAAAGTTTCGAGATAAGCCAGGATGTCCAAAAATAGGACAGGTAAATTGGTGCCCCAACGTCAGCAGCATTCCTGCAAAGGTGGAAGGCCTACACAGGATCTGGAGAATATTCCAGCACCAGGTAGGAGGTAGAGCAAGATGACTTCTCAAACTCAGACCCATCCAGTCATAAGATTCACTGAAGACCAACAGAGCCTTCTTTGCTTTTCCAAACTGTGTAATCCCAGCATTCCTACAGGGAGATGGGAGGTAGCAACAAGAGAACTGTCTGGAATTCACAGGCCAGGCTGCCAGCAGCACAGCAGAAACAATGAGACTGTCTCAACAAGGTGGAAGGAGAGAAGCAACTCCTGAAAGTTGTCCTCTAACCTCCACATGCACATCATGGCACACACATGCTGGCACACCACACGCACACACACACACACACACACACACACACACTGAACATTTTAAAAATATATTTTTCAGGGGACTCAAGACAACTAGACCTGTCCTCTACCATCCCATCTGAAGATACAAAATTAAAATATACATTAAAAGGGAACCACCCTGCAAATTGTATGGTCAATTGAAAAACTAAAAATAAAATGACCAAATGATTCAACAATATCACTTGGTATACAATTAAAAGAATTGAAAGGAGAATGTTAGTATTCGAATATGAAAATCCTCACAGGCTCATGTGTTGAATGCTTGGTTCACAGTTGCTGGTACTACTTTGGGAGGTTCTAGAAACTTTAGGGGATGGAACTTCATTGGAGGAAGTAAATCACTGGGGATGTGACTCTGAAGGTTATAAATGGTTCCCAAATCCATTCCTTACTCTCTGCTTCCTGACCAAAATAAAGTGGAAAAACTCCCCACAAGTCCCTGCTACTATGATGCTCAAGGGCATGGGGCCAAGCACCCATGGACTGAATCCTTTGAAACTGTAGCAAAGTCAATCTTTCCTCCTTTAGGGTGAGGGAGAGTTGGTCTTCTTTAAGGGAGTGACTAGATAGGCTGACCAGGCTCCAGTGGATAAACACACATAGAGGGACATCTGAGAACACAAACTTGACTCAATAGGCCTTAACATATATGACAGAATGCATGAAATCCAGTTGGGGGGGGTGTGGGGAGGGTAGAGATAGGGGAGGGGTATCTAAATATGATTAGGATATATTGTATAAAATGCACAAAAATCAATAAAAATATATAGTAAAAATAATTTGGGTCCCAACTATGCATAAGATAATTATACATAGGCATGTTCATAGAGACCACAGCACAGCTACAACATGGAAGCAACCCTCATGGGCATCTATATCCATCTAGGTTTGCCTCTTGATTCAGCTATTCTTCAGTTTCATGAAGAGCTCTGGAAATACTCCTGGCATGAGAGAACAAGCAAAATGTAGTACAATTGTCTAAGGGACTACAATTCAGCATTCAAAATGAAGGGAATTGTGACTTGTTATATAGCACTAATGAAGGCTGAAAACATGCTAGGTGAAATGAACAAGCCACAGGATAAGTGTGTGGTTCCACTGACTTGAGGTACCTAGACTGTTCAGATTCAGAGTTGACTGGCAGTTGCCAAGGGCTGCCGGGTAGAGGAATACGGAGTCAGCCTTTCATAGGAACAGCATCAGTTCTGGAGGCAATGGTTGATTTGAGATAGTTCAATAATGTGAGTATAACTGCCACAGAACTGAACATTTTTGGAAATTTATCACTTAAAAATTGTTAAAATGGGAAATTCTTATTTTTTACCATAATTAAAATTAAAATTGAACCACTACCCTGAAGTACTAAGCCTTTAAAAGTTATCAGACCCTGAAGAGATGGAGACGTACCCATCACACACCATCAGACTGGTAAGGAAGACGTTCTTGTTCTGTGTTTTGACAGAGGGGGCTCACTCTGTAGCCCAGGCTGGTCTCGAGCCCTGGGTGACCGTCACGAGTGCTGGCTGGGATCACTTTCACCCAGGTTTTTGGGTGTTTGTTTGGTTCTGGTTTGGAGTTCTGGTGTCTGCAACCCCACCTGGCCTGGAACTCGCTATGTAGACCAGGCTGGCGTTGAACTCACAGAGAGCCGCCTGCCTCTGCCTCCTGAATGCTGGGGTTAAAGGCGAGCGCCACCACGCCGGGCTGTTCTCACAGCTGTGGAAGCCAATACCAGGAAAGCCATTCGCCACTAAAGTCCGGGCCGCACTGCTACTGAGGAGACTAGACTGCTGCGACCGGCCCGCCGCGCCAACGCGCGCCGCACGTTCCTCCAATCGCAGGCCAGGGGAGGAGCTCTGTGGGCTAGGACCAATCACAAAGCCTTTCTTCCTGTAGACGCGCCCTCCCCCGCTTTTTATTGGACAGTTTTCAAAGTCGTGGAAGCCAATGAGAGTGTGCGGTCGGCGGGTCCAGGAGGCCGGGACAGCGGGCGCGGCCTTTGAAGAAAGAAACTGTCTCTGTGGTGCCATGGTGGGGTTGGGTCCCGCCGCCGCCGCCGCCGCTGCCGCCGCGGGTGAGTACGGCCGCCGGCCTCGTTTCTTGCGGGCGTTGGAGCCCGCTGACGAAATCCTTCCGGCACAAGCTGCCCGCCGCCCCCTGCCTGCTTCAGTTTCCCCCGAGCATGAAGCGCAGGCCTGGAGCTGGCGAGGGCGAGCTGCGCGCGCCCGAGGCCTTCCAGCATGTCTCTTGGAACCACCCTGCAGCAAGACATCCTTGTCACTGCGCTCAGATAGGCCCCGGCCGCTGGACCGGGCCACACCGCAGGCAGTGCTGGTGGGGGTGCTCTGTACTCTATGCCCCCAACTCTCACCAAGGCCAGGAGGACGGATCTGCCCCGATCCCAGTGTCTGCACCTCTGGGGGTTGATTGATTAAGGATCCTGTGGTCCCTGATCCCTTAGAGGCACCTGGAGCCAGCCCTGCCCTGCTTTTCAGTGCATCCCGCCCCCCTGTGTAGACACGGTGTCTACACAGTTTGATCCGCTCTATTTGCTGTCTACTAGGTTCTCTGCACCCTAGGCGCTTGACACAGTAGCCCTTCAAGGTGGGCTTCCGTGTCCCTACTTGACAGGCTCAGTAACGATGAGGTTTGCTACCTTGTAGAAGTCACAGCTGCTGCTCTGCAGCCCTGGACGTCTCGCACACCACAGCTGGCTCTGCACACGGCCTGGCCCGGACCTATGTGTTGTTATTTCTCACCACTGTTCTATAAGTATATATCGGAGTCAGAACAAAACACGGAATAACTCAGTCTAGATGTCGTTGCAAAGAATTTTGCATTCCTGTGGGCTGCTGGCTATCTTTGTGTCTATCACTGTAGTCTCCTCCAAACAACCATCTCCCCACTCCTCACTGATCAACCCCCATAATTTGTCTTTGACCTCTTGTGTATGGCATCTCGATTTGCCATTGATTGTAATTATCGTTGTGTTTATCTCTAGTGCTAGATTGAAACATTTTAAAAATATTTTATTATTTTTATTTTATGAGTGTATTGCCTGCATGTGTGTAAGTGCACCCATGTCAATGCAATGCCCATAGAGGTCAGAAAAGGGTGTTGGATCCCTGGAAATGGAGTTATGGACAGTTGGTAGTCACCATGTGGGTGCTGGGAATCAAACCTGGGATTTCTGCAAGAGCAGCCAGTGCTCCTAACCCCTGCGCCATCTCTCCAGCCCTTGATTGAAACTTCTTGAAGGTAGATATCTAATTTGATTCTCACCTGATATGCTTGGGACCAGGGAGTTTGAAATTTCAGGGTTAGGTTTTGGGTTTGGGGTATTATTTCTCCCAGATTTTAGAATATTTGTGTGTATAAGAGATCTTGAGGATGGGACCAAGGTCTAAACATGAAATTCATTTACATTTCATGAGCATTTTATGCACACACCCTAATGATCTTCTATTTGTAGTATACCTGAGTTTTCACTGTGATCCATCTCGTGAAGTCTGGTGTGGAATTCCCACATGTATTATGTTGGCCCTTGAAAAGTATTGTACCTTGGAGCACTTTGGATTTCAGATTTTTTTGTTTAGGATAGTCAACCTGTATTGACTTTCATTTTCTCACAAATGCTTTGGATAGAATGTAACAATATAAATGTTTGCCAGTAAGCCCCCTAACTGGACTATAGGGAACCAGTAAAGATTTGTGGGTCAAAAATTACCATCCCATTCTGGGAGGGGGATGGATAAAAACATAGTTAATAAGACCACCTCAGGTAAACTAAGAATTTCTTCATGTAGGGTTGGGGAGGTAGTTCAGCTGATGAAAGTGCTTGCCTCCAAGCCTGGCAGCCTGAGTTCTATCCCCAGGACCAGTATGGTAGAAGGAAAAAACTACCTCACAAGTTGTCCGCTCACCTCCACATACACACAAATGCTTTAAAAATTTTTTTTAAGAATTCTTACAGCCAGGTGTGGTGGTGCACACCTTTAATCCCAGCAGAGGCAAGTTAGTATCAACATCAACAGTATCATTTCTAGTCAGAGTCATACTAAGCTGTTTACACTAACATTGCAACTTGAAGGCAAACTTACAGGCCTGAGAACTTTATCACATTATGTTGAAAAGCCAAAATGATTACAGAAAAGTATCATGTTTTAGGATATAAAAGAACTGGTTAAGATCTGAAGTCAAATATCTGTTGTTGCTTTACTTCCATGTTTTATAGAAGAACGACAGAGAAAGCTTCAGGAGTACCTGGCGGCCAAGGGAAAGTTGAAGGACCGGAACACCAAGTGAGTTTACCTTCCCAGTTTTGCCAGTTTTGTTGCCTCTGTTGCTAATAGCAACTCATGTACTAGCCTTTTGTTTCCGGTCTGTTTAACCCATACTATCATCCTATGATAACTCAAAAGAACACGTCAGTCCAAACATGACAGAAAACCCTGAGCAGTGCCTCATCTGTTGGCAGAGCGTTAGGCATTATTTGTGTGACAGTCTCCAAAGAAAGGATCTACATTATTACCACTCTGGAAGCTTTTCTGGTCTCTTCTTTTTCCTGAGAAAGTTCACTTCTGGCAAAGCAGCTTTTGGTCAAGGAGCTAAATAACACTGCTTTGGGTTTTAAGTTCCTGAAGCAGGAGAGCTGGTGATAGTCCACAGTAGTGGCACACTAGCATCATTTTATCATGCTTAGCATTTGCTTTTGAGGTAGACAGAGCATAACCACTCCACTCTTACCTTTTGTGAAGATCTTACCTCTTGATGAGCATAGGTATATTTTCCCTTTCTGATAGCTCAATGTTGTGTATACTTTTGTGTACGTGTGTGTGTGTGCAAGGGGAACCCACTCACGTGCCCCCATGCAGAGGCCAGAGGAGGATGTCAGGTATCTCCTCTATCACTCACTCCCTCATTCCCTTGAGACAGGGTATCTTACTAAACCTGAAGCTTGCCACTCACGCCAAGTTAGCTGGCCAGTGGGCTCCTGGGATCCATTTGTCTCTGCCCAACTATGGTGAAGCTATAGGCACCTACAGCCACTAGAATCTGAACTCAGGTCCTCAGGCATGCACAGCAAGTACTTTTACCCTCTGAGCCATCTCCCCAGCCCAGGTGGCTCAATATTTATTTGAAAATTAATTTTTATAAAGTTATCTTTCACTCTTAATTTTACCTTAGGATTTTACTCACCCCTCCTTCCTCAATTAAATGAACTAAAATCATTTTCTCAACATGTGCTCATTTCATTCCTATAATGTTTCTCTCCTCTCCCTCTTTCTCCCTTTTTCTTCCTCCCTTTTCTGCCATGCTCCCCCATTCTGAGAATGGAACCCAGGGACTGGCACATGTTATGCAACAAGTACTCTGCCACTGAGATACATTCCCCAGGCCTATCAATCAACCTTATGTGTAGAGATGTGAAACTTAATAAGTCAGAGGTGTCCCTGTCCTCCCAAGGCTTCTGATTATCAAAGTCTCTGTTAGTCTTGTTTTTCGTTAATAGAGATTGTCTTCATTTGTATTTATTTTATTTTTTTTTTATTTTTATTTTTTTTTAGTCTTAGAGACAGGGTCTCACTGTAGCCACAGCTGTGGAGACCAGGCTGGCTTCAATCTTACAGGGATTCCCCCTGCCTCTGCCTCCCAAGTGCTGGCATTAAAAGCGTACTCTACCACGCCTGACTTTGCTTTATTCTACTTTTGCATTTTTATCTCCCCAACTAGATTTCAATTTCATGTTATGTCTTCACAGGTCCAGAATCCACAGATGTTCCAGTCCCTTATATAAAATACCATAGTGTTTGGATGTAACCTATGCATGTCCTTCCATGCACTTCACATCATCTGTAGATTACTTGTGATGCCTAATATAATGTAAATAGTAAATGAATAGTTACACTGTTTTATTTATTTAAAGAATAAGAACAAGGGGAAAAGTCTCCATGTTCAGTATGAATGCAGTTTTGCTTTTCATATTTATTTTTTAATTTTGTATTAAATTTTTGTGTATTTCATACAAAAAATCATCTTTATACCTACTTCCTCTTTGGCATCCTCCCATAACCCCCCACTGGATTTCATACATTCTGTCATTTGTGTAAAGGCCTATCATATAAAGTTAGTGTCCCCAGATGTCCCTCAGTGCAGTTTCATCCACTGGGATCTAGTCAGCCTATATAGAGTCCTTCCCTTTAAGATCAGCTCTTCCTCACCTAGCAGTAATCACCTGCCAATAATTCTTCTACTAAGATTTGGGGCATGCTGTTCATTACCACAGTTCTGTGCTAGATTTTTGTCTGCTTAAGTTTGCATGGATCTTGTACATGCTGACACCATTGCTGTAGGTTCATATGAAAAGGGTCCCAGGCTCCTGTAGGACTATATCAGTATGGTCATGCACCTCCTCCCTGACTCTTACATTCTCTACCCCCTCTTCCAAAATGGTCCCTGAGTGGGTGCATTTTGATATACGAGTCCTGTCCAAGGACCCACACTCTACAAACTCCTAGTCTCTGTGTTTGGTCATTTGTGACCTTTTGCATTCCTAGCCCTCTGTTGCATGAGGGAGCTTCATTGATGAGGGTTGAAAGGTACATTAGGGTTCTCTTCATCCCTTGTTCTGTGCTCTGTGAGCATTAGGTAAAGAGCTTACATCCTAGATGTGCCACTTAGACTTGGGCAATTCACAGACAATCTCTGTGTGTGACCGGTTGTGGAACTCTGTAATTGTCTCTTTCTGTTGCAGAGAAGTTTCTTTGATGAGTAGTGACTGGGATACGTGTCTATAAATTTAAGGATCCATATTTTGCACATAGTAAGAAATTGCATTTGTTGTGACAGCTTTGGGGTTTTCTGTAAGAAATTGTGACCTCTCCAGCTATGTGTATTTGGCTAGGTTTACAGTACCACACATGAGTTTCCTCCCATTGAGTGGGCTTTAAGTCCAATTACGTAGCTGTTGGTTACCCCCAAGATAAAAATGCCTTTACTGCACCAATATTGCTTGCTGTGCTGGTCACTGATGTGGTTTTTAGGCCTTGAAGCTGGGGTTGGACCATCTATTGATGTTTTCCCTTACCAGCTTACATAGTGCTCTCCAAAGCTATGAGAGCTAGCCTTCAGGGGACGTGGCTTCCAGGTCAGTTCCAGCTCCATTACTTCAAATCCTGTGTCCCAAGTATGTCCTGTCTTCAGCAATAGGGTCTTATCACCAAGTTCTGGGAGGCAATCAAGGGCTGTGGCAATAGCCTGTGTAATTTTGGGAGTCTCTTGGAGTACCCTGGCCACCAACTCAAAAGAAAGTTTCTCCTGTATGGCACTGTTTCTTATTATGTAGCCTTCAGCTTTATTCATGGACTCATGTAGAGATATTGTATGTGTAATTTTTCAGTAGGCTTTTGGACAATACAATTCTCTCTTGTTTTTTTATACTAGCTAGGCACTATTTGTCTCTCCTCTTTCTCTCCCTGTCTTATCCTCCCTCCCTGCCCTTCCCATTTAAAGTGTCCACAATTTCCCCATTTCTCTCTTCACAATTTCTGTCTGCTATGGTCCCACTTTTCTTAAGCTCTTTCTTCCCCTTTATTCTAATAGTTCCTTGTATACCCTCCTTCTCCCCCTCCCATTTGACTACCCCCTTTTTAGACACTTCTCCCTTAGTAACATGTCTCCTAATATTCTTCCTTCTTTTCCTTTACCTCCCTGGTTCCCTTCCATTTTCCTGTTTCCTGCAGTTATAGCAGGCTGTGTACTCACTTATAAGAATATGATGCTAGGATCCACAAATGAGGGAGAACATATATCTTTTGTTTTTCTGAGTCTGTGTTACTTCACTTAGGATAACAGTTTCTAGATCCATCTCTTTACCGGCAAATTTCATTATTTCATCTTTCTTTCTGCTGAGTAGAACTCCATTGTGTGAATGTACCACATTTTCATTAAATGTTTGTCAGTTGAGGGGTACTTAGGTTGCTTCCATCTATTAGCTATTGTGAAAAGAGGAGCAACAAACATGGTTGTATAAGTATCTCTACAATAGGATGAGTCCTTTGAGTATATGCCAAGGCATGGTATAACCGGGTCATATGGTAGGTTCATTTTTAGTTTTTTAAGAGTTCTCCACACTGCTTTCCATCAGGGTTGCACGAGTTTGCAAGCCCACCAGCAGTGAATGAACGTTCCCCTTTCTCCAATCCTCACCACCATTTGGTATCATTTGTTATCTTGATCTTAGCCAGTATGAATGGGCTAAGATGAAATCTTAAGGTGGTTTTAATTTGTGTTTCCCTAATTACTAAGGATGTTGAACACTTTTTTAGATGTTTCTTAGCCATCTTTATTTCTTCTTTTGAGAACTCTCTGTTTAGATCTTTAGCCCATCTTTTAATTGAGTCATTTGTTTTCTTGATTCTTTGTTTTTTTAGTTCTTTATATATTCTGAATGTTAAACCTCTGTCAGATGTGTCACTAGTGAAGATTTTTTTCCCACTCTGTGAGTTTTCTCTTCACTTTCTTGGTTGTTTCTTTTGATGTACAGAGGCTTTTAAGTTTAGTAAGGTCCCACTCGATTGTTGATCTTAATTCCTGAGCTATTGGTGTCCCATTTAGAAAGTCCTTTCCTATACCTGTGTCTTTCAGGTTACTGCCAATGTTTTCTTCTAACAGTTTCAGAGTTTCGAGTTTCACATTGAGGTATTTGAACCATTTGGAGTTGAATTTTGTGCAAGGTAAAAGATAAGGATCTAGCTTCATTCTTCTACAGGTGGAGATTCAGTTTTGCCAGAACCATTTGTTGAAAATGGCGTCTTTACTCCATTGTGTGTCCTCGGCACCTTTGTCAAATACCAGGTGGCTGTATGTCTGGGTCTTCAGTTATGTTCCATTGATCTATGTGTCCATTTTTGTGCCAGTACCATGCTGCTTTTATAACTATAACTCTGTAGTATAGTTTGAGATTTGGTAGTGTAATCCCTCCAGGCTTGCTCTTTGTGCTCAGGGTTGCTTTGGCTATCCAGAGTCTTTTGTGCTTCCATATGAATTTAAGGATGATTTTTTTCTAATTCTGTGAAGTATGTCATGGGGATTTTGATTGGGGTTGCATTGAAGCTATATATTGCTTTTGGTAGGCTGGTCATTTTCACAATATTAAATCTTCCAATCCATGAGCATGGGAGGTCCTTCCATCTTCTGGTGTCTTCTTCGATCTCTTTAAAGATTTAAAATTTTCATTGTAGAGATCTTTGATGTTTTTGGTCGGGTTTATTCCAGGTTGTTTTTTTGTTTGTTTGTTTGT